CTCGCCCCATGTCTCTGTGCCTGCCGCCAGTAAGGGGAGAGTCTCCTGCCCCACTGCGCCCCCCACACACACACTTCTCTCCGCCCCATTGATCTGTGCCTGCCGCCAGTAAGGGGAGAGTCTCCTGCCCCACTGCGCCCCCCACACACACACTTCTCTCCGCCCCATTGATCTGTGCCTGCCGCCAGTAAGGGGAGAGTCTCCTGCCCCACTGCGCCCCCCCCACACACACTTCTCTCCGCCCCATTGATCTGTGCCTGCCGCCAGTAAGGGGAGAGTCTCCTGCCCCACTGCGCCCCCCCCACACACACTTCTCTCCGCCCCATTGATCTGTGCCTGCCGCCAGTAAGGGGAGAGTCTCCTGCCCCACTGCGCCCCCCCCACACACACTTCTCTCCGCCCCATTGATCTGTGCCTGCCGCCAGTAAGGGGAGAGTCTCCTGCCCCACTGCGCCCCCCCCACACACACTTCTCTCCGCCCCATTGATCTGTGCCTGCCGCCAGTAAGGGGAGAGTCTCCTGCCCCACTGCGCCCCCCCCACACACACTTCTCTCCGCCCCATTGATCTGTGCCTGCCGCCAGTAAGGGGAGAGTCTCCTGCCCCACTGCGCCCCCCCCACACACACTTCTCTCCGCCCCATTGATCTGTGCCTGCCGCCAGTAAGGGGAGAGTCTCCTGCCCCACTGCGCCCCCCCCACACACACTTCTCTCCGCCCCATTGATCTGTGCCTGCCGCCAGTAAGGGGGGGGAGCCCCTGCCCCACTGCAGCCCCCTCCCCCCCACTCCCAGTGATTGGTGCGTGACACCCCTGCTGCCAGTGGGTCTGGGGGGTGCATTGGACGAGCATCTTATGCTGGGGAGGTCAGGATACAGACATGCTCCTTATATATTAGCTTCTTAGGGGCTGGGGATTTCTGGCACCCTGGGCCTGGCCCGGATCAGCGTTTGCTTTTGTTCTGGGGAACAGGGTTCCTTGTCAGCTGAGCGCTTGGGGAGGCCACTCAGGAGAGATTCCAACGCCTCCCACCCAGCAGTGTGCCCACAGCCAGGTTTTGTTTCGCCAGGTGATACACATTCACACATGCGTGGGTGCACATAAAATTTTATTCTGCACATGGGGGAAAATAGAAGAAACATTGCCCAGGCCCTTTGTGCTAGGTGCTGTACTCCCACCACAAGGAGATGGCTGCCCTGCCCACACGAGCTGGTCAGCACAGCCAGGGCTAGAGCTAGGCCCCTGCAGCGAAGTACAGCCACAGAAGGGATCCATCCCTGTAATGAATGGTAACAAGGTCCACGGACAAACTCTTCCATCCACTTAGCTGCATCTCCATGGAAGTCGACCTAACTCCATCACACCGGGTGTGCAGTTTGTCACAGCCATGGTACCCTGCCCATGTGGAGACAACCGATGGGGACAGGCCAATCAGGGAGTACCACAACCCAGTGCTGACCAGCCTCCGTGTGACAGTATTATGGGCTCAACAGCAGCCGAACCATCACCAAACTATTTGTAAGCATCATAGCAAAGAAGACTTCGAAGGAGGACAGTGAGGTAGGTTAGATGGGGGGAGCCTGTCTCCTAATCCTTGCTCTCGCCTTTACACTTGTCTCTTTCACATCAAACCATTCTGTGCAGCGCAGGTAGACAGAAGCCTCACAGATTTGGGAATGGGAACCCGAGTCCCTACCCTACCCCTAAGGTACCCCCATACAACACACCAGCCTCCAGATGCACAGCAGTATTTGGGGCCGTGTGGTCTTCGCGGTTCCATTTTAAAATTTGGAGCCTAATCCTCACCTCGTGGGAGATATTCCACCAAGGCAACGGGACAACTCTCTAAGGATGGGTTTGCAGGACTGGGCTCTTAGCAGTGCTTAATTTGTAAGGGAAGAAATGCCGGGGCTCAAATACTTCTTTTTTTTTTTTTTTTTACTTTAATAACTGATGTAGCAAGCCCAGCGGTGCTAGAGCTAAGAACAGCCAAGCCTAGAGGTGGTAGTGCTCAGCCTAGGCCCAAGTTAAGCACGAATCCGTAAATCCACAAAGGGATCCCTTTGGCCTGGTCTGCATGCAAAACTTCCATCAATCTAACTCATGCCCTGAATGCTGTCCATACAGGGGTAGGCAATATTTTTTTGCCGGAGGCCACTTCACCTGGGCTGCACTGGAAGGGGCGGGGACTCAAACGGAAGGGGCGGAGCCAGGATACTTCCCTGCTTCCCCACCTACAGACCATGATTGGTCTGGGGGTGGGAGAGTATGTGAAGTCTTTGCCCCCCCCCCCCCCCCCCCCCCCTCCACAACGGGGCCTTAATTTGTTCCAGCACTTTATAGGGTTTTAGAGTATCCCACACTCCTGGGCCTGGAGGATCCATACCACAGTGTCAACTCCAATATTCTGGTACATTACTCCAGTTCCAAATGCTACAGTCTACCCTGTCTCTAAGCTTAGCTCACCACTTCTCAAACTATGATGGGTGAAGTCATTAGAATTTTGGTCCAGCAATCTCTGCTCACATAAGTCATCTTTACTCACCCCACTAAAGACAAGCCAGGCTAGGTAATTTGATGCAGCATCAGCTGCTTCTTACATAGTCATTCTAATCAAGCAGGTATTTCTACTTAGGGATTCATCAAAGCCTCTTTCTAATGAAAGCTGAGCGAGGGCTTTATTACATTTACTGGGTTTGAGTCTCTTCCTTTCATCCCAGTGTAAATCGGGAGTTAATATGCAAAGCAGTGGAGTTATACCAGCGTAAGAATCACATTCGTATGAGGTCACTAATTCTCCATTAGACTTCACTAAGTAGGGACAAAATAATAGAGAAATCCACTATTTTTTCTCCTATGTATTAATCATCACAAACAATTTGGTAATTAATACATGTTACTTGATGGCTACTTCCTCATCTATCACAGCTGGTGAAGGGGCAAAGTACAAAGCCATAAAGCAATAATGCATGAGAAATGAAACCACAGAGATCTATAGTAAGTCATCATTGTGACATGATAAGGGCTCTTTTAAAGCAGCGGCAACTTCAGCAGAAGCTGGACAGAGGAGAGTATTTTCTCTTGGTCCCTCTCTAGTTTTCTTCTGTGCTGGGCATTTCCTAATATGACACGTTAATGCCACGATCCTGTGACGTATTAAGGCACCTAACTCCCATTGAAATCAGTTAAATTCTTAGAAGTAAGTTTTCAGGTGACTGACTATATTTCAGGAATTACATAAGGACATAGGAACAGCCATAATGGGTGAGATCAAAGGTCCATATAGCCCAGTATCCTGTTTGCTGACAGTGGCCAATGCCAGGTGCCCCCAGAGGGAATGAATAGAACAGGGAATCATTAAGTGATCCATTTTCTGTCACCCATTCCCAGCTTCTGACAAACAAAGGTTAGGGACACCATTCCTACCCATGCTGGCTAATAACCTTGTTATAGTCTTGGCCTTCACAACATCTTCTGGCGAGGAGTTCCACAGGTTGACTCTGTGCTGTGTGAAGAAGTACAGCCGCTCCCCAACTTACGACCCCCTTCATTTACAACCATCCGCACTTATGACCAAAGCAGTCGTAAATGCAGATCCGAGTTACGAACGGCGAGCTGCGCTTACAAACAGCATGGTCGCCATGTAACTCTATGGGATCTGAGTTACGAATACTTCGAGTTATGGACCAAGTGTTGGTCCGTAACTTGTTCATAACTCGGGGAGCAGCTGTACTTCTTTTTGTTTTAAACCTGCTACCTATTAATTTCATTTGGTGATACCTAGTTCTTGGAAGAAGTAAATCACTATCCTTTATTCATTTTTCCACACTAATCATGATTTTATAGACCTCTATCATATCTCCCCTTAGTTGTCTCTTTTCCAATCTGAAAAGTCCCAGTCTTATTAATCTCTCCTTCTATGGCAGCCGTGCCATACCCCTAATCGTTTTTGTTGATTTTTTCTGAACTTTTTCCAATGCCAAGATATCTTTTTTGAGATGAGGTGACCACATCTGCACTCCGTATTCTTATTTTAATAGAAGTTTGTTTTTTGTAGAAAGAGATGTCTCTTGGTCTCTGAGGGCATGTCTAGACTACATCCCTCTTTTGAAAGGGGGATGTAAATTAGACGATCGAAATTGCAAATGAAGCGGGGATTTGAATTTCCCGTGCTTCATTTGCATAATGGCAGCCGCACATTCTTTTGAAAATGGGTATTTCGAAAGTGAAACCAGTGTCTAGAGGTAGTTCTTTTTGGGGAAAAAAACCCCTTTTTCAAAAGATCCTGTAAATCTCATTTTTTGAGGAATACAGGAGCTTTCAAAGAAGGGTTTTTTTTCCCGAAAGAACTGCATCTAGATGGCAGTTCCACTTTTGCAATACCCGTTTTTGAAAGAACGTGTGGCCGCCATTATGCAAATGAAGCGTGGGAAATTCAAATCCCAGCTTCATTTGCAATTTTGATCTGTCTAATTTACATCCTTCTTTCGAAAGAGGGATATAGTCTAGACATAGCCCGAGGGAAATCATCTTGCCAGAATATTCCCAAACCTGTCCGGGCTGATTTTATTCATGGCTCATAAAGAGGCTTAATAATCACTTTATACAGCACTTTACAACTTCAAAGAACTCAGCTCATTAACCAGCTTAACTTGGTTACCCAAGAGGCTGGTAAAAACCAGTCATCTAAGAGAGGTTAGGACTTTCGATAGGGTCTGGTGCCTTTAATTAAAGTGGGGTATGGAATCACAAGGAGCTGCAGCCCCAGCCAAAAGGCTAGAGTTGGATTGCGGAAGGACACACTTTAAGCACTGTTTTACCAAAGATTATGACAGACCCCAACTCTTTTCAGACCACTGCAAACCCTGACAAACTTATACCCACACAATCAGGCTTGGAGTTCTAGCCCTTGAATTGTGACACATTTGAGTCTCCTGAATTGTTTAAAATTAAAAAAAAAAAGAAACCCACCTGCAGGGTAACTTACTGATTCCACAATCGCTGGATTTTTTCTCCTTCATTCTCTGGTCAACTGCTCCGGAATCTTCCCGCATTCTGGAATTCCCTCAGTCCCTCTTAAAGGGCCACCAGCGTCCCTCTGAATCCTGGGAACTCCCTCGGCAGACCTCCAGACCTTCGCTTTCAGGGACACAGTCAGCGAAGTGTGACCCTGCATTTCAGTTTGTTCAGGGCAAAGCGTTTACAAAAGTTTAGGTCATAGGCGACTTGGGAAGTGCACCTCCTTGTGCCCCCACCAAAATGTTAACTTGCTAAATAGGGTGCCCCCACATATCCCCTCCTTGGTCCTCTGGGTGGCCCTCCCTGTGCCCCCTCCCCCCACAGGCACCAGGCATCTATGGTAAAAAAAAAGCACTACTACAGTTCAGTTGGCACCCCCCCCCCTGCAAATTCTAGGTACACAAGAGCAGTGAGCAAAGTTGTCCTCTCCCTGGAAGGGACAACAATCTTGCAGCCCATAGAGATGGAGGAGGGTTACTCATAGGATTACCAGGTGTCCGGTATTCAACCGGACAGTCCGGTTTGTAGGCCTTCTGTCTGGTGAAAAAATTCAGAAAATACCGGACATGTGCAGTGTCCAGTATTTTCTGGTTTTCCAGCTGGGTGCCTGACGGAAGCCTGGCGGGGGCGGGGGAGTGGCTGGGAGGGGGCGCGATTGGCGCTGGGAGCCTCTGGTTGTGTCTGACGTAGGAGTGACGCCTTGGAGAGGAGGAGAAACTGTGTCCGTGCTCCTGAGCGCTGTTCAAGCCCATTGTGGAGCCATAGTCGGACTCGCTCATGCTTCGCCAGGACCGTGCGTGGGATGGGCAGCGCCCTGGGATCTGCATGTGCCCGGGTCAGTCCCACTCCCTGCTGGCTGATTCGCTGCCACCCGCTTCTTTCCCCCAGCCAACCCTGTTCTCCCTGACCACCTCCTGAGCCCCGCTCCCCCCGATCTCCTCCCAGCCAGCCCTACTTCCTGCTGGCCAGTTCTCCTCCTCCCAGTCTCCCCCGGCCAGCCTCGCTGCCCCTGACCTGCCCTGCTTCCTTCCAGCTGCCCTCCCCTATCTCTCCCGGCCAGCCCCACTCCCCTCCTGGCCGCTCCCTTCTCTCCCCCTCTCCCCCCATCAAGTGTGTCCGGTATTTTTTCTGAAGCTACCTGGTAACCGTAGTTACTCATGCGGCCCACTCACTAGCCTAGGTTGCCCATTGCTACCCTAGAAAGTTTGCAACTCATATTGCAGCACTCAGAAATGAAAAGAGAAACTCTCCAAACACAAAAGCACTCTTTTAAGGCCCCCAGTCCTGCTAGTGAGAGGTGGAGCCTCATTGAAGTTAGGGCAGCTTGCAGGATTGCAGCTTTAGGCTGTAGGGCCTTGATTCTCAAAGGTATTTAGGCACCTAATTCACACTGAGTTCAATCCTAAGCAGGTTTGAGGATCCAGGCCTGAGTGCTTCGAGGCAGGACATCTTATCTATGTGTCACAATTTACCTGCAACTTGACTCTTTTTTCTAAACAGCAAATAAATAACAACATTCTGCATTTACGCTCCTTCTTCCAGTCCAGGTTCTCAAGCGACTTAATAAAAAGGCGCAAAGGTCGGACTGATTAGTCTCGTTTAATAGATGGAGAAACTGAGGCACAGGGACGTTTGTTTGGTTTTGAGCAAAGTATTTGAAAACAGTCTGCTTTTGAATGCCTCGGTGTTTGGGGGGCCTGTCGCAAATTCTGGACCTGGTTTACAGGGGGAAGCCCAGACCCACAAAGCTTCTTAGACATCTAACTTCCTCTGATTTCAAAGGGAATTAGGCACCTAAACCCCTTGAAGAATTGGAGTCTAGGCCCCTGCACCTTCAACAGAATTCAAATAGGGGCTTGACACTTCTGAAGGTCAGCCCCAGTGTCGGGCACCCAAAACAATCTGCGGACACATGAAAATCTGAGCATTTGTGGCTTGCCCATGGTGACACTGAAAGCTCCTAAAGAGCTGAGAGGGGTTTAAAAGAAATACCTTGTAAAAATGGAAGTTTGTTCTTGCTACAGTCGTGCCCTGAGCAGTGAGGGAACAAGGCAGGATGACGAACATGTTTCGAGGAGGGATTATATACAAACTCGAAAGTGCCAGGAACTCTATTTTCTAGTCTCAGAGGAGTAGCCAAGTGAGCCTGTATCTGCATAAACAATCATGAGTCCCGTGGCACCTTAAAGACTAAGGCTACGTCTACACTATGAGTTTTCTTGGCAAAAAATATGCCAATGAATATGCTAATGCATGAATCGCAATCTCATTTGCATATTTTCTGTCAATCTGCTTTTTCGCTAGGGTGTTTGCGCAAAAACAAGCAGTGTGGACGTTTTCGTTTTGCGCAAAAACCCCTTTTCCCACAAGATCGGTAAACTTCTTTTTGGGGGGGGGCATAAGGATCTTGTGGAAAAAGATTTATTCTTTTTGGGGGGGCATAAGGATCTCGTGGAAAAAGATTTATTTGGGCATCCGCTTTCGTGGGTAAAACCCATGAAACCTCTGATGCATCAGACAGAGTAGTTTCTACCCATGGCAGTTTATGCCCAAATAAATCTGTTAGTCCTTTAAGTGCCACAGGACTCCTCGTTGTTTCTATTTTCTGTGTTTGTTTAGCCATCCCTCACAGCCCACTTTAAAGACTAACAAGATGGCTTATTAGGCGATGAGCTTTCGTGGGCCAGACCCACTTCCTCAGATCAAATTGTGGAGGAAAATTGGCATGGCCGTATATACCAAAGGAATACAATCAAAAAAATTGAACACATATAAAATTGACAAATCAGAGTTTAGAACAGGAAGAGGCATGGGGGGGAGGTTAGTGTCTCATAGACGAGATCTCACAGCAATTTGCAAAATCCACTGTCAATGAAGATGGCCACTAGATGGCACCAGGCAGCCCCTGGTTAAAATGCTGCCACTTTTAAGGATTAGGGTGAAAATAAACCCAGTGACGTGCTGCTAAAATATAATGATCAACTCTTTATTTCTATTGCAGCGTGGAAGCCAATGAGAAATTAGGGGTCAGCTGTACCAGACAACACAAAGACAGTCCCTGCTTCAGAGAAGTTATTATCCCCATGCAACTCCTGTCCCAGACAAGCCCTGGCTATTACAAAGCCGAAAGTGCAAACGACTAATCTATTCTGGCTCTGAGTGGAACGTATAGAGATCCTGACATGCCCCAACGTTGGGCTGCATTTGAAGGCCGGTCCCTGCCTGCTGACCCCTGACAGACTCTGCCTGCCTCTCCGAAGCCAGCGGGAGAAAAATGAACTGCTCCTTCCATTCCCTGGCTCTGAGCCTTCAATAACTCCCCAGCCAGGAAGTGCAATTGTCACCCGCTTCCTCTTGAGTTCTTGGGCGGCTAGTGGTTGCCAAATCTGTGCCGAGCTGGAGGGGCTGTTTACCTTGGAGCGCAGCTTCCTAATCTTGGTGAGGCTTTCTGTCCCCCTCCCACGGGGGTTTCACAATTACACCCTTGCCCTATCCACAGGGGCTTTCTGGAGGACACGTGGGAAGCACCTCCTTGGGGACACAGAGAAAGAAGTAACCCTCACCCTCCGCTGCCCCCCCAGCATCTGCAGTGTTCATCACAGACACCCGTCACCCCAAGATGTTCTTATCTGCCTGGGAAAACAACCATTTTTTTTTTCATTTGGAGGAGGACAAAATGCTGCAAAAGAAAGCAACTGAGGAGGTGAAAAAGGAGGGGGTGGAATCTCCATCCCTAGAGGTTTTTAAGTCCCGGCTTAAAGCCCAGGCTGGGATGGTTTAATTGGGGTTGGTTTGAGCAGGGGGTTGGACTCGTTGGTCTCTGCCAACCTTAGGATTCTGTGATTCTATGAAAAGAGAGAGCGGTGCATACAAGGGGTCAGGCTACACTTCACCTGCTTGCCTGCACGTCTACCCCCCTCCCCGCATGAGAGAACCCCAAACCAAGGCTGATACCTTGATTTCCTCCCCAGCCCTGACAAGCGCCTCTCTCTCCCTCACCCCAGTGGTGAGAGGTGGTCTCCATCCTGGCTCCTGGGAGGGTTAATCTCTCCCGCCTCTCCTCAGCTGCTGATTCTGATTGCTCTGAATTACCATACAGATTGAGAAAGCCAGGCCTGTGATTTCACAAGAGCCTCTGCCAGGCTCCTTCAAGTGGCCAGAGACCCTCAGCCTTCGCCCCGAGGCTCCGCTTTCCCTTGGAGACGGGTGCCTGCCGGTGCCCCCTGCACCTGCTTCTCTCTGATGAGGGCAGCGTCTAATGACTCCGATTTGGAAAGAAACTCAAGAGGGAAGATAATGACCGTCTGCTTCCTGACGCGTCCCAGAATCCCCCACTTCTCTTCACACCCACCCACCCCATCAACATCAGAAAAGGAACAGGCCAGTCACCTCTTCCCCAGCTCCTGTCTTATTTTCAGCCCTTTCCTGTCTCAGCAGAGGCGCCTTGTTTTTTATCTTGACTAGTCCCATGCCTGGCGGCCGTGGCACAATCATGCTCAGGATCCCCAAGATCACAGTCCTGGCGGGAAAGAGAGGGGGCTTCTGTGCTAGTCTGCTAGAGCCCAGGGGAGGCTAACGCCGCAGCGGCTGCCGCCTTTGACCATGGTGGATTCCCCCAAACCCTCTTGCCCTCTGCTCCCAGGCAATATCATGTGACGTAATCCCAGATTACACAGGCTAGGACGTGGCTGCTTTCCTCGCCAGGCCGCTTGGCAACCTGAGGTAAATCTCTGAGCCAGAATTGATCATGTAATAGCAGCGTGTCCCTTTGTCCTCCGTGCCAGCTCAGGGCTCCTGCAACAATCTCTGCCCTGGATTATCCGTGGGGACTGACCGTGGGCTCTTTGGCAGCAGAAGCAGCGCGCTCGACCACTCCAGCTAACGGCGCTAGAAGCAGTAGTAGGTGCTTATCTTCTGTGAGGACCTGCCACTATCTTTCACAACCCTCTCGGTTGCCACCCTGATGTAAGGAGGCCGTGACGGAGGAGCCCTGAAGCCACATT